CAAGAGCAACCGGGAACCCTGTTCTCTTGAGAAGAAGAGCACCGCTGTCCAAATGAAGACTGAGCCAAGGAGAAAACAGCAGCCTAGCAAGAGGGCCGCAGGAACAGACAAGAGACCCAGGAAGATGCAGGAAATCAATTATCTTTCTGGGCCTGCGCGGCTTAATTAGCCAACTGTTATATCAAGGCTGAATGTTTCCAGGGGGCTGGGGGGGGCAAGTGGAAAAGGGATAGAAGAACTGAGAAACAGCAAACGTGCCTATCAGGAGTGCAAACAGGATGGAGGCAACAGGAGGAGGAGGAGGAGTTTGGATTTATACCCCACCCTTCACTCAAGAGTCTCAGAGCGGCTTACAAACTCCTTCCCCTTCCCCTCCCCACAACAGACACCTTGTGAGGTAGGTGGGGCAGAGAGAGCTCTCTCGAGAACTGCCCTTGAGAAAACAGCTCTTGTCAGAACTATGGCTTGTCCAAGGTCATCCAGCAGCTGCAAGTGGAGGAGTGGGGAATCAAACCTGGTTATCCCAGATTACAGTCCACGCACTTAGCCACTACACCAAACTGGCTCGTGCTGCAGTAATAACCCTGTTCTGAACAAAGCTCAAATACTGTGGGAGAAATATTTCACCGGGTCAAGTCCGACAACAGCAGGGCTCCCACCTGGGCCAGCGAGTCTAGACCCTCCCATAAGCATGCTTAAGATCATAGCATTCATCTTAGCACAAAGCAATTCACATGCACTGGTAGTTCATCCGTACATCCTGATTCTAGAAGAGGACCTCTGTACCACCCCACGTATAAGTGAAAATAGAGACTAGACCTATGCATATAGCAGTAAAAACTGTTCTTGGATTGTACCACTGTGTACTGGAGATGGGAGGGCCACAAATTCAGATGCTCCTCAAGGAAACAGATTGCTGCCGAACAGAAAACGTGCATGCCAGGGGAATGGATACACTAAGATTCTAGTCGACAATATCAAGCTTGGTAAGCTAGTCTACATGCAGGGGGCAGTCCCTTATGCAATTCCCCCTCTAGTCTGAAGTGGTACAGTCCAGGAACAGTTTCTCTGCATGTATGACCTGCTGTTCCCCTACGACTAGGCCTCAACTCCAGCCACAGGTCCAGTCTGAACCTGGGGTTTCTTCCAGAATGGACATTTATTTCTCAGGCCATGAGAATGGCTCGTTTAACAGACATATCAAAAGGGTGTCAAATCCAGCTCGGATCCCTAAGGCCTATAATCCATTAAGTTCAACAGGCTCTCTCTCCAATCAACGATTTGGTGAAATGGAAGACTAGTAAAAACAGCTTTTACTAAGTGTCTACCCCACTTGTCCCTCCAACAAGCTCACAGCCGCATATATGGTTTATTTCAATTTAATTCATTTATAGCCCACTGTTCTCCTCAATGGGATATAACATGGATCTCCTCTCCTCCATTTTCCACTCGCAACAAAATTGTGAGGTAGAGACTGGGCTGAATTCCATTACCAAACTTCCATGATCAAGTGGGTTTTTGAACCTGGGACTCCCAGATCCTACCTCTGACACACTAACCACTACATACCACTGGCGCACGTTTTTGACCCTCAACAATTCAATGTTCCCTCTAAGCTGTGGAATCTTGTGAGCAAAAATTCCACTTTGTGAGCTACTGGCATTAAAGTTGTGAGCGAGCTATTTGGCTACTGCATAAATTAGTTGGCTCTGGAGCCATCCTTCCTGAGCTAAGCCAAAAATGTGTGAGCCGGAGGCTAAAAAACTTTGAGCTAGCTCACACTAACTCAGCTTAGAGGGAACACTGCTGTGAGGTACCTGGGCTGCCAGAAAGTAATTGGTCACTCAGTGAGCTTCACAGCAGAGTGAGGATTTGAACATGGGTATCCCAGCTCCTCTATGGAGCTGCGGTGGCTCAAGTGGGTAAGACGCTGAACTGCAGGCTGTGGAAGGTCAGTAGTTCAGCAGTTCGAGACCCGGGTGCCGCATGACGGAGTGAGCTCCCGTCTCTAGTTCCAGCTCCTGCCAACCTAGCAGTTCGAAAGCAAGAAATTGCAAGTAGATAAATAGGTACCACTTCGGTGGGAAGGTAACAGCGTTCCGTGCGCCTTGGTGATTAGTCATGCCGGCCACATGACCACGGAAATGTCTTCGGACAGCGCTGGCTCTTCGGCTTTGAAACGGAGATGAGCACCGAAACCCTAGAGTCGGATTCGACTGGCTTTCAAGCAAGGGAACCTTTACCTTTTTATCCCAGCTCCTATTTTGACATTTAACCACTACACCCCAATGCTCGCTCAAGAATGCTTTATCACCATACAGTCAAGCGCTTCTAGTGTGGTGCCATTAATATTTTCATGCCATGACCCAGCAGGAAGCACACACCAGCACAACTCAAATGTGCTTGAGCCTGAGGAGAGAAAAGTCACACAGGACTTAATCTGAGACGCGTGGAATATGGATTCTAGACAGGAAGCCATGTTAGGCTGTTGTAGTAAACACAGGGACATCTTACAGGAACAGCCACCTTTGGAAGACTAGAATCCTTGGGGTCAAGCTCATGAAGTAATCTCCCCAGAGGAAAAAAGGTTTCCGCACGGTGGACTGAAGAAATTGTGAAATTCAACGGGGCGCCACAAGAAAAGTGTCACGTTTCTATAGAGTCTTAAGACTGCATCTTGCCCCTCATGCTGAGGTAAAAAACAGGAGTGAGTCCCAATTTCCCAGCCCTGCTGATACACATAAGAGGGGCATTTACTTTCCACAATGGGAAAATATATCCCAGGGCCTTTTAAAAGCGATAACTGAAGAAGAAGAAAAACAGCTAAGGGTTCGAATAAGCTTCCCTCACACTGCATGAGGCATGAAGCAACCAAAACCCTTTTTTCATTAACTCCCCACCACAAGTACATAAGGTTCCCCTCAGATGTTTCATGAGAATAAACGCAAGCTCGGACTGGGTCTTCTGAAAGCTTTCGCCCTCCCAATGCTTTCCCTTTAACTTGACTGGCAGAAATAGGACATTTAACCACTGTTCTTGGGCCTGCCTCAGATGAGGCGTTGTTACGCTCACACACTTCCTCTTTATCTCTTAGCGGAGAGAAGCATCGTAACATTGTGGCCGTCCTGCTGTGAAGTCAAGGACATATCCTTGGGTAGCTGCCAGATCTAGCAGGACGCAAACATGGGAGTTTAATTTCTAGGAGGCCTGTGAAGTAGAGAAAGGAAGACAGCTTTCAGATTAAAGGAAATTAAAGGGAGCCAGGTCAGCACATCAAAGTCCCTGCTGAAAAGCATCTTTAAAATGGAAAGCGGGCGCGTGGGGAGCTAAAACAACACACCCAGACAGAATTTATGGTAGGCTGTGGTTTCGGAGCAGCATGTGATGACAGTTTGATCCACAGAAGAGAGACGCAGAAGTAATTTTTGTTGGGGGGGGGGAACTTTCCACAGTTGCTGCTGGTCTTAGACTTTTAGCTACTTCCTCCTCATTCAAGTACACCCACAGTGTGGTGTAGTGGTTAGGGGTCATTGCCATCTGGGGGATTAAGGTTCAAATCCTCACTCTGCCACAATGCTTCCCGAGAGACCTCGGCCTAGTCGCTCTCCTTCAGCCTCACCTACTTCACAAGGTTCTGGCAAGGGTGAGCGAGCAGAGAAGAAACCCTGCCTGCCACTGAGCTCCTCAGCAAAATGTGATAAAAATACACAAGAGGCACAAATATGAATCAGACACAGAGCAAAGGGACCTCTGAGCACGTACAGAAGACCTTTCACCTCATCCCTGAGACACTGTAACTTGACCACACGCATTCTGAATTAAGTAGCAGGGTTTCCTCCCACGGCAGACAGAAAGGCTCCTACGCATACACACCCCAGTCTTGGCACCTCTTGAGGTTTTTTTAATTGCTCCTACAAGACCATCCCAAAAAACAAAGTACCAAAGTTTACGACGTAGCAGTATTTGAGGTCATTATCCTGTACTGGCTCACGTTTTCACTGTTGTAAGTACGAAAACAGAACCAGCATAAGGCGGGAAGCAGGCCAACCAAAGATACGATTCAGAAGAAGAAAACCGTACTCCACATTCATACACTCAGCCACCTCTACAGTCCTTACTGACCTATATAGTCTGTATTGCAGATTTGGAGAGAAGGTACTAGACTTGCCCTGGTACCCCCGGCCACTGGTGGGGGATGGGGCAGAGTTGCCAGCAGGGTTCCCTCTAAGCTGAGTTAGTGTGAGCTAGCTCACAGTTTTTTAGCCTCTGGCTCACACATTTTTGTCTTAGCTCAGGAAGGAGGGCTCCAGAGCAAACTAATTTATGCAGCAGCCAAATCTCCGGCTCACAACTTTAATGCCAATAGTTCACAAAGTAGAATTTTTGCTCACAAGGCTCCATAGCTTAGAGGGAACACTGGTTGCCAGATCTAGGTCGGGATGCTCCTGGAGATCTGTGGATGAAGTCTGAGGAGGGCAGGGACTTCAGCGGGGTACAATGCCACCTTCCAAAGCATCCATCTTCTCCAGGGGAACTGATCTCTGTAGTCCAAAGAGGAGCTGTAATTCTGGGGGGTCCCCAGGTCCCACCTGGAGGCTGGCATCCCGAGGAGGTACCAAGGTCCGAGACCACCCTCAGAGTTCCTGCCTGCAGCTCTCGCAGCCCGACCACCACTGTACCAAATGCATTTTAGCACTCCGTACAGAAATCTGGAGTCGCTCCATTAGGCCATATGGTATTCCAGAAGGGTAAAAGGTACCCGGGCAGAGAAAGAGGGCTTAACCTTCCCCACGTCACTCGATTTAAGACAATCCCCACACCTAGGAGAGTGCTAATTCTATTGCTGAGTGAGTCCAGAGATCTACAGCCTCGCTCAAACAGATGGTTAAGAAGAAGGTTCATCCTTCCTTCTCACACAATCAACCTGGGGCATCATGAACGACGACAGTTTGGGGAGGGCACTGATCTCCCAAACACAAGCCAGCATGGCAGGGACTTACCTTCAGTAAGAGACGGTGCCGCCGCCACTGGGATCTCCCCTACCTTCCCTATCTGGGCACAAGCCCCTGCCAGCGGCGGCGGAGGAGGAGGAGGAGACGGCATCTGATCCAAGCCATTCCCAGGCCCGGCCCCACCGGCTTTAAAGGGGTTCACTTTGGGCTTGGGGGCGACGACGGGCGCGTACTTCTTCTGGGGGCTGTAGAAGCTGGGGGTGGAGATGTTGATGCTGACCGTGGAGGTCATGCGGGTCCCTGGGGCCCCTGAGGAAGCCATCTTGGACCGGGCTGACTCAGCACCTAGGGAGAGAGGAAGAGGTGTTCTTATCAAAAACAGATTTGGGAGAAACGCAGGCCAGAACACTGCAGGCCACCATTCTAAGGGGTGGAGAATCAACAGGGGTAAGGAGAATCAGGATGCAAGGAGTAAAAACTGGACAGCCTCCAGCCGCTTTGTAGACAGAAACCGGGCCTAAAATGAACTTATTTTTCTGTGTAAACAACAGGATACCAATGCTTTATGGGGTGTGTGTGTAGCTGAACAGATCTCACAGGAAAGAACCAAATTCACGGACACAGAGAAGCCGAAGCTCAGGGACCGACTTGGCAATAGCCAAAGTTGCCGCTCAGACTATAGGGCGCTTTGAAAAACAACAACTGGAGGGGCTCGGGAAGACTCTGCTCAACTCGGAGTTCCTCGCAACCGGGGAGGGGAGGGCCCAGCTGTGTGGCGCTGCTGGCATGGCTGCCCACTCCCCTTTCCCGATTCTACCACACACCCCATCCCCTTAAGTTACTCGAGGTCCACCCCCCTCCGCCACCCCTTACCTCAAGGCCTTTAGCCTCGGCTGGTCCACAGAGAGGCTCTTACAGCCGGAGCGGAACAAAAGGAAACCTGGCAGATTCCTCGGCGGTGTCATCGGAGAACAAACCTCTGGCATCCCCCCCCTTTCCCGAGATTGCCCCTCTCTGCACGGGCAGCTGAGATTCCGCCCTGCCAAGTCCCCCTTGTCACTGTGGCCGGAGACCAGCGCTCCCGTACTCCGGCATCTCCGCCTGCTCCGCCTCCCTCCCCGCAGGAAGCAGCTCGGAGACCCAGCCAGCCTCGCTGACACGTTCCTGGAGTCACACGCCTCCTTTTTCCCAGCCCCGGCTACACGGAGTCTGTCCTAACGCCCGCCCGTCCCACCGCTGGCCTTTTTTTTTTTGCAGGCAAGGGAGACGACCAGGCACGTAGGGCGAAAGATCATCGCCACTGTAGCGCTGACAGGGGCATGCTGCTCAGGGTGAGGCTGGCTTGGATGGAGACAGATAAAACGAACGCCCAGATTGCTGTGAATTGCTAAAAAGCCCACGTGGCGCCAGAACATCACAAAGGGCTTTTTAAAAGTTAAACTGCGAACACGGCACCTGGGGGGGGGGGAGAATAGTTTCAAGCAACGCACGGGTCTGCTGCCCCTGCACGTCAAGAGTCTGATTCAGTATTCCCTCTAAGCTGAGTTAGTGTGAGCTAGCTCACCGTTTTTTAGCCTCCGGCTCACACATTTTTGCCGTAGCTCAGAAAGGATGGCTCCAGAGCAGTGTTCCCTCTAAGCTGCGGAGTCGTGTGAACAAGAATTCTACTTTGTGAGCTACTGGCATTAAAGTTGTGAGCAAGTGAGTTGGCGGTGCTGCATAAATTAGTTTGTTCCGGAGCCATACTTACTGAGCTAAGACAAAAATGTGTGAGCCGGAGGCTAAAAAACTGAGCTAGATCACACTAACTCAGCTTAGAGGGAACACTGCTCCAGAGCAAACTAATTTATGCAGTAGCCGAATCGCTCGCTCACAACTTTAATGCCAGGAGCTCACAAAGTAGAATTTTTGCTCACAAGACTCCACAGCTTAGAGGGATCATTGGTCTGATTTGCCCAATGTAGGTAAAGGTAAAGGTTCCCTTGCTTGAAAGCTAGCTGAACTCTAGGGTTGTGATGCTCATCTCCGTTTCAAAGCCGAAGAGCCAGCGCTGTCCGAAGACATTTCCGTGGTCATGTGGCCGGGGTGACTACACACCGAGTCGCTGTTACCTTCCCACCAAAGTGGTACCTATTTATCTACTTGCAATTTCTTGCTTTCGAGCTGCTAGGTTGGCAGAAGCTGGAACTAGAGATGGGAGCTCACTCCATCATGCGGCACACTCAAGTCTCGAACTGCTGAACTACTGACCTTCCACAGCCTGCAGTTCAGGGTATGGACCACTTGAGCCACCGCAGCTCCTTGCCCAATTTAGATATCCTAATATTGGTTACAAGTGTCTCCTCTTTTATCCAGGACCCTGAATGGTATAGAGACCCAGCCCTGCCCTCACCTAACCAGCACAGAACCATAACCTTTCCTTTGATTGGTACCCTCCGTATTAACAGAGCAGTCAGGTTAGAACAGATAAAAGGAAGTACTTCTTCACCCAAAGAGTGATTAACACATGGAATTCACTGCCACAGGAGATGGTGGCAGCTACAAGCATGGACGGCTTCAAGAGGTAATTGGATAGACATATGGAGCAGAGGTCCATCAGTGGCTACTAGCCACTAGGTATGGATAGGAACTCTTGGTCTGGGGCAAGTGATGCTCTGTATTCTTGGTGCTTGGGGCTGCGGGGGGGGGGGCAACAGGGGGAGGGCTTCTAGTGTCTTGCTGGACCTCCTGATGGCACCTGGTATTTTTGGCTATTGTGTGACAAAGTCTTGGGCTGGAGGGCCATTGGCCTGATCCAGCATTGGCTTCTCTCATGTTCTTAACATGCTCTTCACCACAAAGGTGATGCAAAGGTCCCAAGATGAGGCTACCTCAACAAATTGGAAGGGAGCCTTCTTGAGGGCCACATTAGCCCAAGAGTCTCTAAAGGGGGTGGAACCCGCCTCTAATGCTGTCCCTCTTCTCCAAGAAGAAAAGATTTTCCCACAGGTACAGTTAGACAGCCCTGAACGGGAAGGCCCAAACTAGCCCGATCTCATCAGATCTTGGAAACTAACGGCGCTGGTTATTACTTGGCTGGGTGACCACCGAAGAAATCCAGGGTTGCTACAAAGAGGCAGGAGATGACAAACCGCCTGAACATCCCATGCCCTGAAAACCCTATGGACTTCCCATAAGTCAGCTGCAACTTGACAACACTTTGTATCATCACCATAGGCAGAGAAGTCAAGGATACTACCATTAAAAGGTAAAGGTTCCCTTGCTCGAAAGCCAGTCGAGTCCGACTCTAGGGTTGCGGTGCTCATCTCCGTTTCAAAGCCCAAGAGCCAGCGCTGTCCGAAGACGTTTCCGTGGTCATGTGGTCGGCATGACTAAACACCAAGGCGCACGGAACACTGTTATCTTCCCACCGAAGCGGTACCTATTTATCTACTTGCAATTTCTTGCTTTCGAACTGCTAGGTTGGCAGGAGCTGGAACTAGAGACGGGAGCTCACTCCATCATGCGGCACCCGAGTCTCGAACTGCTGAACTACCGACCTTCCACAGCCTGCAGTTCAGCGTCTTAACCACTTGAGCCACCGCAGCTACCATTATCCCAGCGCAAACAAAATTTTAGGCCAAATTCCCAGGCTCTGAGTGAGCCACACTGATTTCTCTGCCAGTCCCCAAGAGCCACCCGTTTCCAGCAACCTTTACGCCCAAGTCTAGAAATGGTGCCTGCAAGCTAAACCTCAAGGGCTCCCCCAAGAATCCACCGTCAACTCTACATGCCTGCAGTCTTGTTACTTCCAGAGACCGTTAAGGCCTTTCGGACCAGAACCCAGCCATTCCGGCCCATATTTAAGAAATGCAAAAGAACAGGAAGACTGCCCCCCGGTCTGAATTTGCCAGCTGTTTCCTGACACAAGCCCAAAAAAGTCCCTCCCCCCGAAAGTGTCTCACTCTCCCATCCTGCCTGCTGCCAGAGTTAAACTAGAGAAACCACAAGCTTGCCGTTTCCTATAAATCAGCTCAGGAAAACAAGGTTGTGGTTAATTTGACATTTTCCGATCGTATCTGGTGCCTGATCTGAAAGACTGCAGACCGGGACTAGTTAAAAAAAAAATGGACGTCTGGCACACAGGTCCGCAAAGCTGGCTGGTCAGCTGTCTCCCAAAGCCACCGACAAATGCAACCCAGGCCAAGCGCTGCATTCCTTGAAGCCGGCTGACTTCAGGGGACAGAGGAGGGGGTAACCCTGCCTAAGGGCTGCCATGTTAGTTCCACGGCCAGAGCAGCTGTTCCCACCTCCTCCACCCCGGGACAAGCTCCTCTGGCACAGGCTGTCCACAGCCACATCCTCCTGCAGCTGTTCTGCCGACCGCCTCCCTCTTCGCCTGCTTTGCCAGTGACCTCAGACCCTTCCGGGACCATTGTCAGCTGACGAACAAGGAGGCCGAGACTGTTTTAAGATCACGGCCCCCCGGTGGTCATCAGGACACAAGAGACTCGACGGCGACTTCGACATGCGTCCCAGAACCAGAACTGCTGAGTTCTCGTGTCCGTGCCAGCCAGCAAGCAACATCGTCTGGGCAGGCCTGAACGAGTCATGAAGTCTGCCCCAGGGAAGAAATTCCCTGTGCCATGTTGCAAAATGCAGAAGACTCCAGGACGGCTCTGGCGCCACCTCACTTTCCAGCTACTTGGGAAGGGACAGAGGGAGGAAATGGCACCATGAAGGTACACGATGCCTTTTAGGAAGCCGGGGAAATCATAACACCTTCCGTGACGGTGGCTAGGAAAGGGGGGGGGGCTCTTAACCAGTGTTCCCTCTAAGCTGAGCTAGTGTGAGCTAGCTCACAGTTTTTTAGACTCCGGCTCACACATTTTTTTTCTTAGTTCAGGAAAGAGGGTTCCAGAGCAAACTAAATTATGCAGCGGCCAAATCGCTCGCTCACAGCTTTAATGCCACTAGCTCACAAAGTAGAATTTTTTCTCATGAGACTCCACAGCTTAGAGGGAGTATCTAGGAAAGGCTCAAGTCCACTCTCTGCTGTTCAGATTGCTGGACAACCACCTTCTTTCAAGCTAACCTACCTCATAGGATTGTTGTGAAAGGAGGAGAGAATGGCCTTCTTTTGCACTCTCCTTTTAAGCCATGTTCTCTGCGGTGTCCTCCAAGCCATTCTGCAATAAAATCGAATTCAACCTTCTTTTTAATCCATGTTCCCCCCCCCCCCCCCCCCTGTCTTAAAAACACGTTCAACCTAATCGAGTTCAACCTTCTTTTTATTCCAGGTTTTTCCCTCCCTTCTGTGGTCAGACCGGTTTCAGCCTGCTGTTGCCTGGATTATTTGGGTGCTAAACTGCCTCTCAACTCGAACACTGAGAAAATCCGGAGTGGCAGGCAGATACGGAAAGGACCAATGACACATATACCATCCTGAGCTCTCTGGAGGAAGGGTGAGATTTTTTAAAAAATGTATTAAATTAAAAGGCCTTTAAGAAATGCAGTCTCCAAATGATTTGGGGAAAGCTGGTTTTTGACAGCCCAGTATACAATTTCTCAAAGAGTGCCTCCTCTCCTTGGGGCTTTTATCCCGAAGAAAAAGTTTAAGGTCTTTGGGCAGTGTCGCCAGAGGTAGCAGGGCCAGCTCTGTGGTGGCTCCTTTCTTAGGGAGGAAACTGACAAGGGACTCCCCAGACTCTAGACAAGGGGCCCGGCACTGTGGCACCCGCCAAGTGTTTTTAAAAAGTGGGAGGGGCCAGGAGAGGCTACTGGAGATTGGTTTGGCTGTACAGATTTTTTAAAATGTTGCTTGTGTGGCCACTCTCACCACAATCATGGTGGCATCATCACAGTATGACTGGAGGTAAGTGTGCCACACATTTTGTAGCTGGTTCCGCCTTCTGTGGCAGCCATTTTGTTGCTGCACACCCACCACGCTGCGTCAGAATCCCCTAAGCGCCCACAGGCTCAAAAGGGCGGGGGATCCCTGCTCCACACATACAACTCCATGCAATTATTGACTGAATGAAAGGGGTTTTTTTAATTTGTGTTTTTAAAGTACTTAAAACATTCAATTGTTTCTGAAATGCTGGAGGAGGAGACCAAAACATTTCTAACAAAAGGAATACCTCTCGTGAGGCAATAGCTGGGGAAGTCTGACCATATCCGTTTTACCATGACTTCAGCGGATAAGATAACTAACCATCCCCAGTGTCTTGCTGATTTATGTGTGCAACTGAGCCAACCAGCCCGCCTCCTGGGCGTTCTGTAGCTAGAACAGGAACTGTTAAAATGCACATTAAAATGCCATGTGTCACCCATGCTCTCAGGCAACAGCCTCAGCAACAGGTCGCTCCCCCCCCCCAAAAAAAGACACACAACCTACAACAGTGGTGGCGAACCTATGGCACGGGTGCCAGAGCTGGCACTCAGAGCCCTCTCTGTGGGCACGCGTGCCATCGCCCCTGCCAGGCCCAGACCACCATTAAAGTGTCGAATTCTCTGCCAAATAATTTTAAGTAAATGAAAGCATTTGGGATTGCTTTCCTTACTTTGTTTGGATCATCTTAAGTTAATGTATGAGTTCTTTTCTCTAAAGTAAAACCTCCGTATTCAGGTTAAATTGCCGTGTTGGCACTTTGCGATCAATAAGTGGGTTTTGGGTCGCAGTTTGGGCACTCAGTCTCTAAAAGGTTCGCCATCACTGACCTACAATATTATGGACAAAGCCTGACAGACACAAATTATATAATCCAGCAAGGGTACATTAAATCTACACAGGGATTACACAGGGATTAAATCTTCACAGGGACAGCATTTTGACACGAGGGGAGGAGAGGTGATCAGACGCCAGCTTCTACAATGAGCCGGAACAAGTGGGAGAGTGCACCATTCCAGGCTACGGGAAGTGCACGTCTGAATGCTCGTCTATACAAAGGGGCACTCTGAACGCAGAGAGAGGGATTCAGCCTACGCTTCCCGTTGGTGGTGGAAAGGACGGTCAACTCACAGCTGATTTATGGCGACCCTGTAGGGTTTTCAAGGCAAGGGATGTTTCAGAGGTGGTCTGCCATTGCCGGCCTCTGCGTCAAGACCCTGGTATTCCTTGGAGGTCTCTCATCCAAATACTAACCAGTGCTGACCCTACTTAGCTTCTGAGACCTGACGAGATCTGGCTACCCTCGGCTATCCAGGCCAGAGCGGGCTTCCCCTTACATGCAAGCAGTGTTCCCTCTAAGCTGAGTTAGTGTGAGCCAGCTCACAGTTTTTTAGCCTCCGGCTCGCCCATTTTTGTCTCAGCTCAGGAAGGAGGGCTCCAGAGCAAACTGATTTATGCAGCAGCCAAATTGCTGGCTCAAAACTTTAACGCCAGTCGCTCACAAGGTAGAATTTTTGCTCACAGGGCTCCACCGCTTAGAGGGAGGAGTGCGTGCAAGTTCTTTTTCCCCCCAGTTCAGAAACACAATCCCACCCCCCCTGAAGCAGGGAAACTGACAAACTTTCCCCACTCGGTTCTGAAAAGTGCATACACTGCTCTGGATCGCCCATCTCCTTCCCTCCCCGGGCAGGCTCCTGAAATGCAGAGGAAAGACAAGTCACCAAAGAGCACAGCATGAAACCATGAAGCTTCCTTATACTGAATCAGACCTTTGGCCCATCACAGTCAACGGGGCAGAGGTCTTCCATGTGTCACCTACTGCCTGATCACTTTCAAGGGAAATGCTGCGGACTGAACCTGGAGCCTCCTGCATGCCAAGCAGAGCCCCTATAACTGAGCCACAGCCCTTCCCCAGCCTACAGAAATGAACCCACCAGCAACTCCTTGCACACATGGACTGCTTTTGTTGCTTGCAGTATACAACTGGTGGTCTGTGCTTCGCCTGTGCCAGATGCAGAATCAGACCAATTTGCCCACATCCTGTGTACTGCTATATTTAAACAGAGAGAGAGAACAGGAACACACCACCCACTAAGTCTCCCTGCCCTTCCTCAGTTCACAACGCAGCCAGGCATTTTAGTTGCTGCAGCTTCAATGCAGTTCAGGGGCCACCACCAGTAGGGAACCGAAACTAGGCGAGGCCACACCCAGCGGTTTGGGTTTTCAAGGGGAGTTCACAACCTCTGCCCCGGACCACGCCACCTCTTCTTACTACAACTGCAAAAGCACAATCCTTGCAGAGGATGGCCATGCAATGAAATCGACCATGGCTCTTTCGACATGGCCGTCTTCCACAGATTGCAAGCGCGCCAATTGTAGCGAACGTACTCCCTGTACGCCCAGCTCTGATGGGAAGCACGCCCTCCCCCCCAAATGCAGAATTCTAAATAAAACACAGGTTGTTACCGGGGCAATAGTGTTGTATGTTGCAAGGGAGGAATCGAGATCCTTCTCTCAAACAATGAATGAACACACTGATCGGACTACTGTAAAGGGGGGGATTTACGAAGAAGCAGGATTATCGAGTGATCAACGTCTATTTTTTCTGCTTCCAGCAGTGGCCTCTGGAAAGCCTGGGCACAAGGGCAATAATCTTCCCCTGATACACCTCTGATACTCAGGGGTATACTGCTCCTAGACACCGAGTCCTTATTTCATTCTCTTGGTGAACACTGGACAAGCTACAGGGAAATGAGCAAACACAATTTCCCTCCCATGTTTTTGTTCCTTCCCCTTCCCTCCTCCAAGTCAACCCCTGGCTAATCTTGCACAATTTGCTTTGTTGGCAAGAAAAAGAGCATTACAAAACTCCCCGGCAAAAGTGTTTTCCTGTGACTGAGCTAAGGCAGAAGTTACGCCTCCCCCCCCCCCATTAAAAGACGCTCAGCGCTTTAAGCATGCATCGGCTCTAAAGCTTTTGCAAACAGTTCACTCTAACACATCCCTATATCCCCCCCCCCTTCAGCAAGGCCCTTTTTTGTTTGTTTGAAAACTGATCCACCAGCCCAATTCTCCCTTCCTGGAACAGACACCGAGTCCTTCCAACAATTGCATTTCCCACCAGGGCTGGCAGATTCTTTCCGCTACCTAAACGCGCGCACATCTGGAAAAATGTTCAGGGGATTGGGGGGCGGTTTGAGCTCGCACGCACACAAAGCCGCCCCCCCGAACTCCCAGCCCGCGTCTCAACTTTCAGCAAAACTGCCAAGGCTTTACAAGAGAAAGGAGGAGACTGCCGGAGAGGTATTTCCTCCGAGCAGGGGAAAGGGGACTTGCCAGACATGAGACCGCCTCGGCGTGGGGTTTTTTTGCTTAGATTTCCTCGGGAGAAGACCCAGAGATCCAGGCGACTCGCTTCCCAGAAAAGCAAGCAAAGCAGTCTCATACACGCACCCCCTTCGCTTTTTAAAAAGGTCAGCAACGACTCAATCCTTTGGCTAGGAGTTGACTCCCACTGAACTCAAGAGAGGGTTGCGCACGAGCAAGCACGCTTAGGACCACGCTGTTAACTGGGATCGTGGCCACTCTCGTCCCAAATGGGAAACCAGCCCTAGCGGAGTTTCACACACTCATCCGAGCCCATGCAAGTCAACGGGTCGACCCGAACAACCCTGCGTAAAATCCCACCGCAACTCCATCCAACGCGACTCCGTCACGCCCTCACCTGGGAGCGTTCCCCGTTGAAATACTCCCCTTTGCGTAAAGGCGCACCGCACAGGACGGCTCTGGAAGGGCGTGCCAAGCCAGACGTGCGCGGGGGGGACGCGTGTCCAGAGCGCCCAACTTTTTTAAAAAAATCACTTCTCAGGCGCGTGGGGCGCTCCGGACACGCAACTTCCACGGCACGTCTGCACTCTCACACTTAGACCGCCCGAAGTCAGGAATCGGAGTACTTTCTCTTTTTAAAGAAAGAGCCTGGGAGAAAGAAGACGCGCTTACCTTTAGGGCGCAGCTCCAAGAAACGAAGGCAGAAAGGGGAGACTCAGTTATTGGATTCCCCGCGGGGAGGGGAGGGAGGAGGCGGGCGAGGGCGGAGAGGGCGACGGGAAAGCCTCTTTTCCTGGTCTCCCGGGGCGGCTCCTCCCCGAGGCCAGGAGGGTTCTCGCCTGGCCCGCGCGCAACTTTGGGCGCCGACTGGCTTTGGCCAAGAGGAGGCGGGGAGTGGGAAGCGCAAAAGAGAAACTGCGCAGGGCCGGCACTTCCTAGCTCATCGCCGACTTTTTTCTCTCTCTCTTTTTTTTTTTAAAGCGGAAAAAAAAAAAGAAAGGCGCCTCGCCCCTGCCCGAGCTGTTTGACCATAAAAGGAGAGAGGCAGCTCGGCGCGAACAGCTGAGCTCACTCATCGGGGAATGTGGCAAGGAGAAGAGGCCGGGCGGGGAGAGGAGAGGAGAGGGGGAGACCTCGGAGGGGCCGGGGCTCCCCCTCCCGCCCGCCTCCTCCCAAAAGTTGGTTTCTCAGCCGACCTCCCCCCTTCTCCGGGATCTCTTGCAGCGCGATCGGGGTGCGCGCTTCCTCGAGAGGAAGCACCCCCCAAGTCACCGTGCACGGCATCTGTGTCGTAAAAGCACCGATCTTTCGCGTGGAGGAAGTTGGCGGGGGGTGGGGAGGGCAGCCTCCCAAGTCCGGGTTCGCAAGATCCTCGTTATTAGCATTCCGAGGAGGGGAGTTACTCTCGAGGAAGCGCAGCTCCGGGGGCGCGCGGGCCGGGCGAACTCGGAGGGAAGTTCTCACGGTTGGAGAGAACTTCTCTCCAAAGCAAATAAAACGGGGGGGGGGGGGGGGGGGGGGCG